TTCTGGAGAGGATTCAAGCCAGGATGGAGAAACTGATAGTTAAAGCCAGGCTAGAGAGAATCTTTGAAAGTGAATATGAAATGCAATCTTGCGAAGAAGGGTAAGAGAACCTTTCTTCTCTGCATGATTCCTCACTGTAGAAGTCAGCCTCAGCCAGGTGATTTCCCAATCCTAACAATAATTTCCCAACTGTCAGAAAAAAGTTATCAAAGAGGTAAGAAACCAATTAAAGAATATTCAGGTATGTTAAGTGTGGTGGGTTTTTTTTTCCCCGTTAACTGTCTCTAGCTCTGTTCCAAGGCATTTAAAGATTAAACTCATATTTTGGAGCCATCAGTGTCTGTCTCTGTTACCTTGTGGAGAATGGGTAGAGGCACTGGAGAACTGGAATACAGTAGACATAATACTGGTTTTTAACGAGGAGGGAGAGAGAAGTGTTGGTTATATAGGCTAAAGGGATGTGCTGTCACCAGAGTTTCAGTCCTGGGAAAGTACTGTAACAAGTAAATGCACACTGCCTTTTTTAACACCTGAAAGTACAAAAAGAATAGCCATCAGCACGAATTTGTCAAAAAGATAGTATCTTTTATTTCTACAGTGTCCTTGTGGACAAAGGAAAAGCCTTGAATGTTATATTTCACTTTTCATAAGGCTTTGACACTTTCACAGAAGACATGCTTTTAAGCAAACTGGGCCATATGGTAAACATGCAACTCTAATAGGATGGGTGGAAAACTAGAAACTGTGTTTAAGTAGCAGCTCATTATCAAAATGAGAAGATTTATTAAAAGGAGTTCTGCAGGGATTTGCGATGACTCAATATTTTTCAGTATTTTCATTAATTATCTGAATGACGGAATAGACTGTATACTTACTAAATTTGCAACAGTACCAAGCTGGAAAGGACTGCAAGTACATTGCAGAACAGGATTGGAATTCAAAATAATCTTGGTACGTTGTAAGTATTGTCTGGAAAAAGAAGATGCTATTCAAAAACATCAAATGCAAGGTGTTTACACAGCAATAACAAACTGCACAAATACAACGTGAAAAATCACTGGTTAGAGAACAGTTCCATAAACAAGACCGTAATGGATTATGAGTTGTATATGAATTTACATTGTCATCTTCCATAGAAAAAAACAGTGCACACATAAGGAAAAACAAGGACCATCAGATAGCAGATAGTTCCAGTGGTAAAATGTGTTGAATAGTTGATTTATGAATTGTGATCTCTTTACAAAGTTAAATTCATGACTTTTGATACGTGAAGGTAACTCTGGCACAGTTTTGTACTCAAATTAGGTCATACGTGAAAAAAACACACAGACTATACTCCCTTTTATGTAATTTCTGTTTAATGATAAGGCTCGGGGGGGTTATTTATTTATTTGTTTTGCATAAAGCATACTAATTCGATTGAGTCAGGAGAGGATATTGAAAGAGACTAAACCCATAATAGTTCAGGACTTGTACTGATTGCATACAAGACTGCAGGGATGTAGCGAGGTTAATGTCATGTACTAACTTCAATTAATTTTTAAAGGAATATCAAGCACCAACCTTTAGATCTTCTAGCAATGAAAATATTCTCTTGAAATGTATTATGTATGTGTAAGGTAAATTGCATTCTAGCTCTGTGAGTCCATGGGGCTTTGAAACTTTCCCTTCTGGGATTTTGCAAAATCCAACCTGTCCTCAGTCCTATGTGTATTTTACCTCCTTGATGTTACTTGGGAATTTTTGTATAAGCTTCACATTGCAATTTCAATTTGCAGTTATCCTTCTCTAGATCTCCTAGGCACATCTGTAGATTTCTGGGTGATAATATGCTTTGTAAAGATACTGTTATATTGTCAGGCCTTTTAATACATTTTAAATGGTTTAGCTCTGTTAATTCTACCACAGACTTCTTTAAGGGCATTTACAGGTATGAATCTTTGATGATAGGGACTTTCTGAAGTTTCTGGTTTTCAGTTCTCACTGCCCAAACTCTAAGACATACTTTGCTGAAACTGTAAATCTCAAGCTTCTGTGAACAAAAGTGGTAAAATCAAAAATAAATACTCAGAATATAACAGTACCTGGATTTACTCACTTCACCCATAATTTGTAGCTCCTTTATTATAGCAACGTCTTCAAAAACCTCACTGGCTTTTTGTTGGCAATATATCTGTTCAGCTTCTTGGTACGGAAGTTGCTCCTAATGTTTTGGTATGCTACTAGTGCACAGTTCGACCATCCTACTTCTTGTTTCTCATCATTTATATTAATACAATGAACAGAAATTACTTTTTCCAATTTGCATTTATACAGTATGCTGATTACATAATTTCTTCCTAGGGCACCCTTTCTTCCTGAAGCTAAACAGCACCTTCAGAACCCTTTCATTCTTTTCAGATTAATCTAATTGACCTTAAATTCTTCTAGAGTATTGTATTTCAAGAGTTTCCAGTCCCTCATCCCTCACCTGCTCTCATATACCAAATTTCCTTCATATTTCTCTTCTTTTAAGGTCTGAAGGTAGAAAATAATCTCTATGATGTCTATGGAAGGAACAGTTGCCTAAAATCTAAATATTGAATTTTTGAGTTGGTTTTAGATAGCAAGAACATCTATATACCATGTTTAGTATTTAAATCACCAGAAATTTGTAAAGATAAACTGTTTAGTTTGCAAGACCCTGCCTGTGAGTTCAGGGAGTAGCAGATGAAGATGATGTGGTGGCACTGACTCAGTTTTATGTTTACACTTTGAGCTGGTTTTGGCTGGGATAGAGTTAATCTTCTACATAGCAGCTGGTATGGGGCTGTGTTTTGGATTTGTGCTGACAACAGAGTTGATAACACAGGGATGGTTTTGTTATTGCTGAGCAGGGCTTAGCCAGAGCCAAGGCCTTTTCTGCTCCTCACCCCACCCCACCAGCGAGGAGGCTGGGCGTGCACAAGGAGCTGGGAGGGGACACAGCTGGGACAGCTGACCTCAAGGACCCAAAGGATATTCTAGGCTATATGATGTCATGTTCAGTATATAAAGCTGGGGGAAGAAGAAGGAAGGGGGGGGGTTGTTCGGAGTGATGGCATTTGTCTTCCCAAGTCACTGTTCTGTGTGATGGAGCCCTGCTTTTCTGGAGATGGCTGAGCACCTGCCTGCCCATGGGAAGTGGGGAATGGATTCATTGGTTTGCTTTACTTGCATGGGGGGCTTTTGCTTTACCTATTAAATTGTCTTTATCTCAACACACGAGTTTTTCTCATTTTTACTCTTCCAATTCTACCCCCCATCTTGCTGCTTCGGGGGAGTCAGTGAGCAGCTGGGTAGGGTTAAACCACAACACACTTGAGCTGTTCTGAGTTCCTTGTTTGGATCACTTGAAAATCATTCTTTAGTGCACACAAAAGTTTGTATTTGTGTATGAGTATATTATCATATCCCATGAAATGTAGACACTGATGATGAACTGATGCTTCTGTGGAAATGATAAGGACCTTTATTTGCAAAGTGTTCTTAGCGCAGAAGTATAGGCAGTACAGGCAATTGTAGATGTTTGTACTTTGAATTTGAGAACATTTGCATTTACTGGGGAAGATGATGTTGAATTTAACTTGCTAGAAATAAATTTATGTGTAGTTATTGCTGATAGAAGTCATGTATTCTGTTTGAGTTCTTTTGCTTCCTCCTTAGCAGGCTTATTGGTACTAAAACTGTGTGGTAAGGTTTATTTTAGTTAACCATTTTTATTTTGCTTAAACAGTAGTCTCTTAAGAAATATGACACTGGCAAGAAATGGGAGTTTTGGTTTTGTTTTTTTTTTTAATAAATGAAAAAAGTCTGAAAGAGAAGCTGAACTGTAACATTAGAACACAAGAGAAAAATGAATACTTGGAAGATGAATATGGTCAGAATGAAGAGGAAGGACGGAGAAAATAGAGTAACAGTTGTAAGATGATCCTTGTAGTTTCATTCAACTATTTTTCTTTCTTCTTCTTTTCTTCCAAATCCTCTCTACCAGTGCAAAAGAAGATAACTATGCTGTTTTTATATACCTATGCAAAATCTTCTAGTGAATGTGTGCTGTACATGCAGTGGTTAATTAGGCACTGTGTGATATAATTAGAGAACACAGATGAGAAATTTCTGTAATATGTGGATAGACCAGCATTGGTTAGTTTTACTTTTTGGATGAAGGACATGATGTTTTTTCCTGATCTCTCTAGGGGTTTATAATTCTGTTCGTTAATTTGTAATACTCAGAAACGTCCTACAATTATAGAACAGCATTTTAAAACTAGGGAAGGGTATTCCTGTAAGAAGTACCATGATATGGTTTTATTTTGGTGAGAAAGAAAATCTGTAAAACTTTGTTTCTGAGTCTCACTTTTATGTCAGGCAACCTTCACCACTGATTATACTTCTGTTCCCTTTCACAACTCAAGGCCTTTTCCGTAATGGTGACCATTTATCTAGACAAAATGACCCTCTAGTGCCCATCAGCACTGCTTATGAAATGGCAACTAGGATGTGATGTGTTACCTACCTCCTGTGTAGAAGTCCCAGTGGCTTCTGAATGAAAGTACTAATCTTTTTTGAAGTGTACAGCTTGCTTCTGCAAGTAGGCTGTTATTCAGACATGGAGATTCAGTTTATTCCATTGGCAAGCACTGATGGAGTTAAAGGGGTTTCAGCAGCCTTATAATATAGAGAGACATATTTATTCATGATGTAAAAATAGCTAAGAAAATCAACAAATAATAATATCCTTATTCTCCAGTTTATTCCAAGTACACATTAAAAATATCACTGAAAATATATACTGTTAGGACAGATGCAGAAATGGCTTTGATTTTCATGTATTTCAACTTCTGGTATTCTTCAGTACCTTTGAGCAGATTTAACTCCATTTTAGTAATTTTTTTTGAGAATTTAAGCCCACTACTTTATATTGAAAATGGCAGAAATGCTTACAGCGTGCTTTGCTTTATTTTGCTTTACCCTTTTAGCAGACAGATGATGCAGCACAGACTGATGGCCAGCAACAGACACAATCTTCTGAAAACACAGAAAACAAATCACAGCCAAAACGGCTTCATGTCTCAAATATACCATTCAGATTCCGGGATCCAGATCTTAGACAAATGTTTGGTGTAAGTAGTCATACTTTATTTATGCTTTTTTGTATTTACATTGCAATAGGTATTTTATATTATAGGCAACTATGAGAGCAGTATCTCTGATTTAGGCTGTTTAACCATTTTCAGTAAAGATTCTCTTTTCATTTATTTCTAACCAAACATCTGATTTGCCAGTCACAACTGGGGAAAGAAATTCTACTGATTCTTCTGTATGTGATGCAGATGGGTGTATTCTATGTCTTGTGTTGTTTTGTATGACATTCAAAAAAAAAAAGCTATCTACATTGACTTAAAATATTGAATAAAAAAATTCCTGCTGTACACATCTGGATTTATATGCCTGTGTTTATTGATTTTGGAGAGCATGATGTAAAATAGTCAATGCTTGACCTTATGAGCAAGGGACCCAAATCTGTAGAAGTAAGACATGGGCTGAATTTAAGCAGGAAGTCCAGGAGTAGGACACTTCACCCATCCCCACAGGTATTGTAGGTCTGTAAGCTTCTGAAGTTTTTGCCAGTATTTTTCTATAAGTCTCTCAATTTTTGCTTTTACCCAGGCCGTTAGCTACCTTCAAGTGCATTGGCTGTGTTTCACACGTCTCATATGCGCTGTCAATTCTAGGCTCACAACCATGAGAGGTTAGACTGGGTTTCTTCTACCTGCTCCAAGAACTCTTAGGTTTATTTTGAAATGTCACTAAATAAAATCTAGAAGTAATACTTGATCAGCTATTAGAACCCAGCTTTTCCTTTTCCAAGTTAGTACTTTTAAGTATTTGAGTTACTGTTGCTTTCTTATTTCTGACTCACTAAAACTTAATTCTCTTCTGTGTTATAGTTTGTTGTACAGTGCAACATCAAGTACTTCATGGCACTGTGTATCTTTCACGTTCAGTTCAGATTGTTAAGTTTTTCTAACGTCTTTGTATGTAAGTTAAGACATTGTTTTTTTCAGTAATTATTTCTGTGAAGTGAAGGGAACAGTCACTGGAAAAGAATCCCGGTACAGTATTGGGAAATGAGAGTGACTGTTTTGCTATATCTGACTTGCTACAAGTAACCTCCCCTAAATGCAGCTTACAGCTTCTGCAAAATAGCAGAAGGCATAATAATTAACCCTCTAGAGAAAAATATGCAAATTTATTTAAATTAAACAAACCACTTAAAATAGATGGATTTTATTTGAAAGTACGTTAAATGAAAGGATTTTTTTTTTTTTTTTTAAGGATTGTAGTAATTTATAAGTGAATTAAAACTACATTTCCTTTCAATATTTCGAAGTCTTGGGTCTCAAAAGACTAACGCTGGAGAATGGCTAGAGTTTTCCAGCTTTAGAATGACTTGGTAACAGTAAACTTTTAGCTTCTGAACTGATAGAAAAATGAAATTTTTGCAAGTGTGAGCTGAAATATCTGATATGAAATATGGTAACGCTGCATCATGACCACATTGTACACATAATAGATGACCTTTTTACATGAATAGAAATGCAGCAGAGGAGGGTTGTTTAAACGTTAAGTCAGTGTCTGCATATAGGCTAAAGTTGCAGTAAAAACACTATTTAGATGGTGAATGCAAGAACATAAAGTAAGCCAAGGGATAACAAATGATGGTTGATTTTACATAACCAAGTTGAAACACTTTAATAAGCTAGAGAAGGAATACTGTCCTTTCTGGCTTGTAATTGTTTATTATAGCTTAAAAGACTGGAGTATAGGCTCATTTCTGCAGTTCCTTGGACTCTTGTTAGATTACAGTTCATTTGCCTGCCTCTAATTTCTGCCTTTTTGTTTAATATATTGTGTCACTTATCAGTGACACACTCAGCTAACACTGATCCATACTGCATGAAGTAACAGAAATGACCCACTGATACATTACAATGTCACATCACAAAACATGTCATATCAGAAAGTGTTCTAACTAAACACTGCCCGAGTCAAACATTTATTCTCTTACTAGGGCAAGTCCAGTAGAGCCTTTTTCTTAGAGATAGCAACTGTGGTCAGGTTTTGTGTGTGTGAACAATGCCTAGATGATTGTGAGTGCTATTGTAAGGTCAATAGGTAATAACAGTTATTACTAATATTATAATAAAAGTGCAGTTCTGAGCAGGGAAAAATCAAGTAAGCATCCATTGTAGTTTTCCAAATTATACTCTAGTAAGACAAGAATTGCTTAGGGAGTAATGGTTATCCCTTTTCAGCAAGGGTAGAGAGAAATCCTCACTCCTTGAAGCCAGCAACAAAACTCCCAGCTGGTTTAACCTTATTCCTGTAAAGCAGAAGTAATGAAACTCCTTTACCTGCCCTGGAAAAGAGACGGAAAAAGTCTTCTTAAACAAAGGGTCTTCAGAGGGAAGGGTGATCAGAGGGCGGCAATGTTCACGCAGCCGTTAATCCTGTCTTGTTAGTGATGTTTATTGCACTACAAGCAAAGTAACCCAGTAGCATGTTACATACCAAAAAAAGGTGATGGCAGCTGGACTGGATGGATCCCAAGGAAGTAACCTACGATGTGCAAAGACAAAATTAAAATAAAAAAAATAAAAAAAAAAGAAATTTGGGACTTTTACTTCACTGTGATCACAGTTTAATGATGATTTCCTCTTTGTCAGGTGGTTTCAGTGAACTTAAAGTTCATAAATGCATATGTGGAATGATTGTGACAAGCTTAATGATACGTACGATTTAGTTGTAATATTTATCAGGCTCCTCTTCAGTGTGTCTTTTTTTGGTGCTTGACTATCTTTGATTTTATATTCTTTAACTTTTTTTTGTGGTGCACCATTTTCTGAAACAAAGATTTGTAATGTATATGATAGACGTGTTGGAGTTATCTTATTTTCATGTATCTTTTCTATTTCTTTGCAGCAATTTGGTAAAATCTTAGATGTTGAAATTATTTTTAATGAGCGAGGCTCAAAGGTAAGCAATTTAATTCATCCACGGATTTTTAAAAATTTGTTTAAAATATTAATATGAGTATAAGGAAACAACTGCACTGCTGTAAAAAAATTATGTCTGAAATTCTATGTTAGTGAAAACAACTTCTGAGCTGTCATTTGGTTTCCTAAGCAGCATGAAAATCATTGGACTCATTTTATATCTTTTAAAGGGGGTAATTTTAGCTACTACAAACTGTCATCTGTTTTATGGGAATGTTGATTTCTGCTGTCTTTATTCTTTGAGGGTAATTATCTTGTTTATTTTAAAAGATGAGTCCATACTTGACCGATATTTGTAGGGAGTTTTGTATTAGTACAGGTATTCTTTTCCCCTATTGAAATGAAAGATGATAATGATACCTAATAACTATCCTCTTTAGTAATTAGCTGAGAAAAATATGTGATTGTTCCAGATTATCTAAGTGCAGATGTTTTCCTCTTTAGTTAAAGCTTCAGTACACCAACCCTTTGAAAACAATCTATTTTAACATTTATTTGATTAAAAGAGTTCTTATTGTATTGCAAACGTTTAATTTTTTTTTCTGAAAATTACTTTGCCTTAAATGCATACTTCAATTAATTCAGTATTTAAGAAATAAAGTAAGATAGAATGGCTGTGACTGCATTAGCATTGTTACCTGGTGCAAAACTGTAGCCCAGTATGTTTCACCTATGATATCAGTTGCATTACATAGGTTTGCGTGTATGTCATATGCATGGTATCTTTTTCCTTTTCCTGCTGTCAGACACACTAGAAAGTTTATCCACCAACGTTTCAGTCTTCTTGTAACTCTCATTATCATTTATTATTAGCGATGGAATTTTTTTCTGTTACAGACATATTGTAATCTGTCATTTTTAAATAATTAGACGTATCATAAACATCTCTTAAATCAGAAATATTTTAGTTCTGTTAATTTTTCACTTAATGTGTTTGTATTTATATTCTAAACTGAAAGACATCACTTTTTGTTTGTTTGTTTTTTTAATAGAATAGCTGACATTTCCTGGTTTATATTACAAAATTATTCTGACATTAGTTAATTAGTAACCTTGCCTGCTAGCCTGAACCCAATTGGAACATTTACCACTTTTTCAGTAAACCACCGAAATGTACGGAATTCGGTGGCTTAGAATCTTCTAATCTGGCTGAAATATATTATCATTAAATTATGACTGTTCAATAGTGTTTGCAAAAGATGTTGATTGTCCCGAACCTGCTCCTGCAGGATAGTAGTATACATTTCAAAAGACATCTCACACTTGCCACCTTTGATTGGTTCTGTTGAAGATGGAGTGGAACTGAGTACCCCTGTCGTGGCGGTGGTGGTGGTTTGCACCTTTGTTTAGCCATTAAATCTTACACATGTAGGACTTTTAGCCACCATGTCTGCATCAGACTGCATAAGTATAAAGCTTTCTTAAAGTATTTGGGGGATGGGGTGAGTAGGTATTTCTGAACTGAGTTTTTTTAATAGTGATTTTGCAATAGTGAAAACATCCCAGTGCCTTGTGTGCTAAAAACAAGCTCCTAGAAAGGATTTCACAAGGAAGAGGTTTTCCTAGGTAGGCTCATAATGTCACTACCTTAGTTACACACTTTATGTTAGAGACTCTAAGACCTATTCTCATTAAATACTTCTCCACTCTCCGGTGCTGTGTTGGTGCCTCCAAGCTGGCTCCGAGTAAGCTGCTGAAGATACCTAAGGCAGTTCTGTGATGCATCTCATTGCTTATGTATGCTGCTTCTCATCTTGTTTAGAGTTATTTCAGGTACGGCTACATAGTATTCTGATTTGCACAAGTACCCTTAGATTCTCTCAATTAAATAAAAAGTTAAAAAACAGGATTAGGAATAAGAGGAACTTTAATTTTTTTTTTAATCTGATAATTTCATGTCCATTCTGTAGGATTTAAGATGCACCAGATTAAAGTCCCATTCCTGGCAGTGCTTATCTATGTTTTCATTAAATCCCTCTGAAACTGAGAGGACTACTAAGTGGTGTCAAACTGAGTACAGGTAAAAAAGTTTGCAGGATCAAAATTAAAATTTGTTTCTAGCTGCAGTTTGACATAAAAGAATTGCTAGAATTTTTTTTAGTTTCTGTGTTTATTTCTTTTTATTCTAATAATTAATGTTTAAAATGATTCTTGCAAAAACAACAGAAGTAAGCTCATTTTCATGCCATAGTAGTTTAAAAAAATGGAACTGCATATTAAAAAAAACGCGGACACACCACCATAAAGTATAACCCAATTTTGCAGAAAGGAGTCTCTCCATAAAAGAAACCCTAAAATAATACAAGTTTCATACTACAAATTTCTGTTTGTTTAGGGGCATAATATTAATTACAATAACTTTGCTAGAATTGTATGGCACACTGATGATTTTTGAAACTCTTCTTTTTATAAGAATTGCAAGAATTTCAGTATTGTTTTGGTGTTTTTGACAAACCTTTGCCAATTCTTGAAGCTCTTGGTTAAAGTAATGTTAAAACCTGCTGGTAACTTACCTTTCACTGTGTTTACCACTCATCTTGGAAAGACAACTTGAACTATGGCTTCCATTACTGTGCACATTTTAACGCTACTCTGTTGTTTTAACACTGAAGCTCTCCATGGAGCTGCAAATGGCACTTGGCTCAGACACAATTGCAAGGCTGCAAAGATACAGGAATATCAACAAGTACCATTTTTTTACAGTTGTAAATTAATGCTCTGTACATCTATACACTACATATATACTTTCATAAATCTGTGTGTATACGTATTAATACATATCTAGTATATATTATATCTTTCTTCAAATAAGAGCTCCAAAGCGCCTCCTAAATTAAAACAGAACCTTCTCATGTACTAACTTGACTATTATTAAATCATTTGACAGACCTTAAAAATAAAATGCAGAAATTTACATTACCTGTTGATAAAATATATTGTACGCTAAGCTGAAGTAACTGTTGAATCAGCTGCATATAAAACTAATGTTAATGTGTTTGTGTAGATATTTGAATGTGTGATGAATGAACCTATGTTCTGTAATTTTGAGTTTCTGTGTCAGCAAGGTAAAATTAAAGATTTGCATAAATAATAAGAGCTTAATTTAAATAGGTTTAATTATGAGAATAAGTACAACATCACAAATTAAAAAATTACAATAAGTATTCTTTTCAGAATCTTTGAAGTTCCTGTCTTATGTTGGCTCGTGGCTCTACTTTATATCTTTTTATAATTTTTTAATATAATTAGGTTTTTATCTTTCCCTTTAGTTGTTTGAAAATAATTAACTGGTAGTGCTGTGAGCTAAGACGACTCATTCAAAATTTTGACCAAACAATTCCCACAAATGTTTGTAATTCTGAGAAGGGGCAGTTGTTCAGCAAGGAGGAGAGGGGAGAACAAACAGAATTGGGGGAATTTATGCTGTTGCGTGGAGTAGACTCGTTGGATCGATGGTTTCAGTGATGTTTTCTGCTGTGAAAGTTTCTTAATGGCATCTTAAATTATAAGCTTTTTCTTACAGAACTTTTAGAAGATGAGAAGAAGCAGTTGAAGAAGAAATAAAAGTTGAAAGTTGGGGATGGGTTTAGGTATAAGAAAAGCCTATGCGGGCATCTAAAACATAGGAATTAGTACTGAAGGGGGGAAATTTACTTTCAACACTCCTGGTGCTTTGGGGAAAAGAGAGTTACACGCTCAGTGTCTTGTGACAAGTGAGGTCGTGGCTTTATGCTAAAATTGTTGGAGGGTAGAGTGGAGAAAATGTGTGGAATCAGGTGTTTTGAGAATGGCTTCAGCCAGAAGTGGAACTGCTGATAGAGCACTTCTGAGCTTAGGCTTCAGTGTGGCTTTAAAAGAGAGGGGAAAAAAAAAAAAAAAGAGCAACAGACAATGTGTTTAAGCTACTTTGAAGAGAATGGAGCATAAACTGCTACTGTATATAAACATCACTTTCTGTGTTGTAAACTGGCATAAATAAATGTGTTCTTTCAGTAGGTAAAATAACCCAAATAACCTGTATAATAATCCTGATAGTTCCTTAACATTTTTTATTGATTGTCAATTAATTAATTTTTTTTGTTTTTCTCAATGTTTGGTGTCAGTTTTGCCTTAGTTTCATATTTGATCTCCTCCTTGTATAAAATGTATAAATAAATATCTTCCCTTCCTCTTTTTTTTTAAAAAAAATCATTCAGTCATCATGTCCATAGTGCGGAAAGTAGGTTGGTGAATATTGACCACAAAACTTAGCAAATGGACTGGAGAATGAGGAGTCGTGATGCATGGCTTATTACTGAGGAGCAGAGCAGAGGAAAGCTTGAAGTCGTAGTTCAAGCTAAAGTAACAGTGAAGAAAAAGGTTGTAGTAGGGCTTCAAATACCTGCAGCAATGCCTATATATAAAGCAGCCATGTATGACTTGCAAATGTTTCTTGTTACAAAACACCAAGGATGTAGAAGCTAATTTGTTTGGATAACTTTGGGAAAGCATGCAAAGGCATCGTAGTGCTAATGTAAGAATTACTTCAAAGGGTTGGTGTATGTTTCTAAAATGTTTTTCGATGTCTGATTTTTTTCAAAAATATTTGCCGTTGTAAACAGTGTTTAATTAACTTACCACAATAAAAAGAATGTTAGTAGGACTGGAAATGTTTGTTTAGCCTAATATTATAAAGAAAAACTTTTGTCATAAGCAGAATTTTGTATTTGTCAAGTATTCTCCTGTCCCACTAAGACGGGATTCTGGAGTTTTACCAGTTGCATGCTCTGTATGTGGAAAGTAATATACATAAATAGTAAATGAACCAGTTAAACTTATTCAAAACGTTTGCATTTTTATTCCTTTATCAGAGTTTCTTTTTCTATTCACATCATGTGATTTTATTTGATCTGTTAATACAGGAAAGTTTCTACTTTGTTCAAAAATTACTTTTGTTTTGTTGGTGGTTTTCTTTTCTTTTTTCTTTTTTAAAAAAATAAGTAAAGGCTGTATAGTTTGACAAAAGTTTAAGTTACCCTAGTGTTGCATGGGAACAATGTTTCTTATGATCACAACAGCATGATTAAGTAGGCAATGTTTTAGAGTATATTGACATTCAGTGTTGAATTTTGTGCACACGTTTTTTTATTTCGTTGAGATATCTGCATGTCATTAAAATGTGGTTCATTTTCTTTTCTCATTAGTTCATTTTTTTCTGTGTGAAGACACTGTAATTTATTTTAATTTCATTTTCTTATTGTTAGATTTATTTTCCTCTGTAGTGACATGTAGAAAGGTATTTTTGGTATCATTCTTTGAATTTCTCAGACGGTATTATCTAACTGATGACAGAAAAAATTTGTTCACATTTGTCGCTTATTTATTGCACATCTCAGTACAATTATAATTTTTCTAATTTGCATGTTACAGAAATGAAGCAAGGACAAGAAAATATTAAATTAAAGAGAGAGAGAACATAAGCAAACAAGTGGTCATTGACTGAAATAATAATGTGCATGTTGTTTTCCCCCCTTCTCCCTCCTGCATGCAGGGATTTGGTTTCGTAACTTTCGAAAATAGTGCTGATGCGGACAGGGCGAGGGAGAAATTACACGGCACCGTGGTAGAGGGCCGTAAAATCGAGGTGCATGTTCAAAATATTTTCCTTTTCATCTTTTTTATAAATGTCTGCTTCACTCTCATTTGTTGTTTCAGATGCATCATTGGTGTCTTCTGTGTGCTCCCCTTTCCCCTTCCCATTGTTTATATATATATTTATATATAAAGAGAGAGAATCTGGCCTTACTTGGGTTTTTTATTATTATTTCTTTTGTAATTATTATTATTATTATCATTATTGCTGAAAGGTGGATGACAATTGAAAAAAAAATGAAAGCTTTAATATTTTGAAGTTATTATTTTGGATGTTTTGTAAATCAATGGGTGCAGTAGATTCCAAAAACCAGCCAACAAAAAAAAGAAAAAAAATTGAAAATTGAGAACAACAACAAAAATAAAAGTGTGACAGACAAAACAAAAACAAACAAAAGGTTGGTTTTTTTTTTGTTTGGTTTGGTTTTTTTTTTTTTTTTTGCTGCAGGGTTGATGCGGGATCCACAGTGGCTTTCAAAAAAATTCAGATTGGGAAAGAAGCATCCTAAAGATGTACAAGAAAAAGCAACAAAGCCAGACTAGAGACAGATCGATTTTAACATTTAATTTTTAATGAAATCATCAGGCTACTTTGGCTGGATGGCCTGAGCCATTCATATCTATTAAAAAATGAACACAAATGCCTTTTAGTACCACTAGATCCCCTTCAATACTGCCTCAGTCGTATTTGTTAGAATAAAAAAAATACCAATTGAAAATGCTGTCGTCTTTTGAGTAAGATGTTGCATATTTTGCCTTTTCATTTTCCCCCTTCGACGGTAGCGCTTAGGGCCCTCACCAAACTCTCAGTAACCATGGTAACTGTATACATACCCATGCTGGCGATGGTGCTGAATGGTAAGTGGAGAAGTCCATCTGCCGTTTCACGTATTTAGCGCTGATATACCACGTGAATTTTTTTGACTTGTTGTATTAAGTTTTCTTGATGCTACATTTTTTTCTATATTGGTACGCCTGTAATTGAGTGTACGTTTTAAGCAAGCCTGGGAGGCACTGATTGGATTGAGGATATGACTTCGTGCACATCTTACTCAGATTGTTAACTCCATATTGTGTTAAATAATGCACCCTCTTTTTATCCTTTTGTTAGCTGTGATTTTAAAGCTTGAATGATTTTGTTAATTCTTGCAATGAAAAAGGCTCTTGTTCCAAGTGTTGAATGCTAGATGTTGCTTTTCCAATGGTACTTCTCTTCTAAAGGGTTATGTTGCACACTGCTAAAATTCGTTTGTCCCTTTTTTTGACGTTTTCTTTGTTTCCTTGTACCTTGTCTCTTTAACTCCACTGCATGTTCCTTCATATAATATTTTTTTCTGTTTTGAGTATTTATTGTATCAGTGTTATCATGGAATACAAGCATGCTTTTAAGTCTTAAATTATGCAGTACCTTTTAATTTGCTTTTAATGTCTTTTTATTAAAGTTTAAATGATATGATGTTGCTTTATTGAAATGATTTGTAAGTTAAAATGGTTATGAAAGTAAATGTAATTATAAATAGTATGATTTTGTTATGCACCTGTTGCCTTCTATAAATTAAATTGCATTTTATTTTTACATTACTAATAGCAGTAATAATGCATGCATTTCATAGTAACATGGACCCTGCCTGTAACCCTTTCTAATCCAGTGTTCTATGTGCTTAGGTAAATAATGCAACAGCACGTGTAATGACAAATAAAAAGACCGTCAACCCTTACACGAATGGTAAGTGCATGAGATCTCAGTGCTTTGTTTTAATGTCGATGCATGTGGACCCTCACGCTTCTGCTGAATGGGTGGACTCATCTACTCATGAAGTGTCATAGTCTGCATCTCCTTGGGCTCAGGCTTTGTCCAGTGACCTAAAACGTGATACGGCTGGGCATCAATTCCGTCTGTGTAGAGTTCAGCTAATTCACAGCTATGTAGGCATAGCATGCATCATTTTGTCTGATTGGAACCTGACTGTTTAACCACAGTGGCTTTTGTATAGGAAAATATGCCTGATAGGAAAGCTTTATGCTCTTCTAGCTTTGCGCAGTGTTAATGTTGCAATGAATGAACTAATCTGAGGATTCAATTTTGCTTGGATGATGGAGGTAGAGACACCAGTAAGAAGAATGTCTCTGTCAGGCATGAGATACTTTTTAGTACCAAGACAGTCTTCTGTGTCTTCATTCCACAATTTGTTAGAAGTAAAGGACCAACTCTAATTGGGTGCTGCTTCCAGCTTTTTTCCCCTGGAAAAATCTAAATTCCAAGCTATCTAAAAAATGTAGTTCTAGTACTGACCTTAGTTGGTATAATGTTGTACATTGATGATAGGAAAATAATCCATAGACATTTGAGAGGTTTGGAAGCAATACATTTTAAAAATGTTTCCTTTGGCAGTGTTTGATTGTGTGCTTGAGTTGTTTGCATTTGCTAGTTCAGAAAATTCTAACAAGTTCCTAGCTCAACAATGTCAAACAGTAATACATCAATTGAAGTTAATTGCAATTACATTTTCCAGTTTTACTAGACTGTGTAGTTATTATTTGCTTTTCAATTTAATTTAATTTTTCCCATCCAGTAGAAAGCAAATGAAATCTGCATGTACATCAGTAAAGGTTTCCACAGGTAGATTAGACTCTTTTCCATTTTGAAATACAATGGATCTTATCGTCTATATTTAAGGTCTCATTAGAGGAGTTTTACTAAAACCCAGGGCAAACAGTGGCTTTATTTTTTTTAATGAAAGAGTAATAATTTTTTCCTACTGCACTAAAAATAAAATACAGTGATGGTTTTCATTTGAGATGTGATAATTGAGCTAGTTAAAATGATCTAGAGAAGAAGAGTCTGAAATTCCTCGTGCTTTCTCAGAGACTATTTTCTTCCTCATTTTGTATGTAAATGTGGAACTTGGCAAATGATGCAGATGGGAAAATCTCCTTCATTTTTACTGGCTTTAAAACATCTCAGTGAATCTAGCAGAAGACACACGAAGCTTGACTGGATCACATAAGATTTTGTTGCAATAAGGAGCTAAATTAATTATGTGCATATGATACTATGACCTTTGTCTGCTATATTGTAATGATAAAAGGATAAAAATAGTTTTGTTATAAATGATGATGTATATTTTGTATTTATATTATCCTAAGGCTACAAAACTGTTTAATTAGCAACTATCATGTTACATATCAGCACATCCAGTGCTGAAGGAAGGGAATGCTGGAAAAAAAGATGTGAGATTTTTAGGAATCTGGTTTTAGAGGAGGTTCACCTCTGTGTCCTGCACTGCAGGATTACTTAGGTCATACATTGTTGTTTATTAACATCCAAACCCAGAATGATGAAAATCTGCTAAGTGGTTCCCACTTGAAGTGTTTTGCCTGTCATTTTCTATCCTGTTCCATCTGGACTAGATCTCACAGAAGTACGAAATATCCTGTTCAGTGCATAAAAATTAGCATTTATGTTTGTGAATCTATACATCCAAGATGTTGCATGTAGGATGTTCTTTTGCACACCTTTTGATGGGTATCTACCAAGAAAAACTCTGGTTGTAGTTCATACATTTTGAATTTTTTTTTTACTTTTTTAAAATGTCTGAAGTCCCATAAAGTAAACACACAAGGAGAATCATGATGTTCTTGCATAATTATTACAAGCGACAAGGAATGAAGTGTAGACGTGCAAGGTGCTTCATTTAGTTTAATCGGTGCTTGTATTATCAGTCATCCTGACATTGCATGATTCTAGATATCATTTTGTCAGGAATTAGCCAGTGCTATAGCTGATTATCAAAGATTATTGTTGTCTAAAGTAAAGGTCTCATCTTTTAAATAAAATATAAGGCTAGTTTTTCTGTGTTCTTCTGCAAGCATATTAACGTTTGCAAGATGCTTCTGATGCAGATAGCCAGAAACTTTTTGTTTGCACATGCGTATCTCTTCAGAACCACTTCTTTTTTAATGTGTGGCTTTATTTTTCGAGAATATGTGGTGACTGACATGTTATTGGCAGGTATTCAAAACATAGTTGGGGCACGTGCTGTATTGTATGAAAACATCAGCCACTAGTATTTATTGTAATTTAAAAATAAGATACACACTATTTTGTCTTTTATTTCTGAATACTGTTGGTTGTTTGATAACAGGGGTCACGTAAATATGATTGCAAAAGTCAGTAGGTTTTAAAGCACAAAAACCTAGACTTTTTTTAATATATGCAGCTTCATTCAAATAAGAGGTTTGCTTTTGTGTTCTAGATGGTTTTTGAAATAAGTATACTTTCCAGTCACTTTTGATGATTCCGAAAATGAGAAGCTAATAAATGCTCAGTTGCCAGGAGGGCTTTTTATGTGCAAGTTTGTTATCAGACAGGGTGATTTTGATGGCTCACCTCATGTGCTTTAGAGAGAGAACTGCCTTTTCTTTGCAAATAAATTCAGTGTCAGGAGTTCTACTTATTGGCAACATTTTTAGATGTTCTAACCTATCCTGTTCACAGTTATACTCTCTTTGGATGCCCATATTGCAATTCAGGACGCTCATCCAGGTGTTGTAGGAAATAGAGAATTATGTGCAAGTGGATTCAGAGGACGGCAGCAAGGAATGAGGAACATGAAACAGAGATCAATAGAGGGATGAATACATTTTAAAGTTTATACTTGCAGTGCCTTGAATTAGAGCCTTCTGTTGATCTAAACTTACATTCAAAATCACAGCTAGTGACTATTGCCACAGTTAAATTCCCTCCCACTCCCCTTTCCTCCTCCTCCCCCCTCTATACACAAAGAGGAGGAAAGCAAACGGTGTCGCAGGGCTTTTTTCCCACCACAGCATTTCTCTGGCCATGGGTGCCTGTCTGGCCTATGAAGTGAAAATAATCCTCTCCGCATTGCTCTGCCCCACTTTCTACGAAAGCTTGTTACACTGTGCAGTATGATTATTTCCTTCCCTTTAGCACGCTTAATGTGCATTTCTTTGGATGACTCTACAGGGTGGGGTTTTGGGGCAGGCAGAGGGGTGGTTTGTTTCCTTGTTTGGTTTTTAAGTTTTGAGCTTTTATAGTTTCAACTCGAGGAGGAGATTAATATTGTGACAGTAAGTAAAAAGGCACAAAATTACACCCACTGCAGAGAATTTGCCTCCTCCGGGTGCTGAAGTAGGGTTACTTGGCAGCTGCTTGCTCAGATGCATCAACTACTATCACACTTGATTAACCCACACAGCTATGGGCCAGCACATTGCTAGCTGACAAGATAAAGTTAAGTTTAATTACTGTTATTTTCACGATGAATGAAGTATTTCCTGTGTAAGCATCAAAAGTTAGATGAGACAGCCGTCACTGTGGGAGAGGTAAGGAACTGAAATATGAGAGTGGCTTTCAGCTGTGAAGAGCAATCTGTGTCTTCCAAGATTTTTTCTTTCTCTCAGACAAACTGTGGCACTGTTAGTGTAGCTTGGAAGCTGAGAGGTGTCTGTCACCTTCTTTGACAGCGAAAGCTGACAGATCTGAAATTCAGTCCAGTCTTTCATTTTGGATGGTGTTGATCAATGGTCTTTTGAGGAAGTAATGAATTTGAAATATTAAATATTCCATAAGCTATAAAAAGTCAGATTTTTACTGAGAATCTCAAAATGTGGATGATTTTCTATCACACAAAATTTTGCTAAGAGTATCTGTTATACCACAACATTCCTAAATATAATCCTGTAGTATGTAAAATTGAAGGGTCAGATAAAAATCCTGTCATATTTTCAGGAGGAAAATCATTTTAGCCCTTCTTGGTTGGCCATTTTTCAGCTTCCATTGCTGTCTTTCAGATATGTATAGCAACTGCAATTACTTCTGCAGAGCAGAATGCATGCAGTGCTGCTCTTTACTCGAACTTCTTAATGAGTTGCATTTCAAAACCACCCCTCACCTCTGTTACTGAACAGTTAATTACTGGTAAATAGTTACTGTGCATCGGAAAGAGAGAGCAGTAATCTTAAAAGGTAGGAATAGTTTTGTGTTGTTATTGAGATTTTTGTATTGCACTTTTTCAGTCTTATAATGCAGTATGGGTTTGTGGTCTTCCTCTGTGCTTTTGCATAACATGAGATGGCCAAGGCAGAAACAAGCCTCAATACAGTTTACATTTAAATTCTTCTAATCTTGACTTTTCTGATTTTGAAAAGCCTTGTTGTCCCTCTCTTGATTGTATTTTGTTTCCAGTGGCATAGTTATAGGATCTATTTAAAGTACTATAGCTCTTGAGTTTAAGAGATGATTTGCCTCAGTTTTGGTGGTGTGTTTTTTTTTTTTATTCCCATTTACAAATGGTGCTTCCCACTCCTCTGATTCAAATGTGCTTTTGGAAAACCCCTAATTTTTCAGTCTCAGTAGTTCAGGTAATTGTTCAAACACTTTAAAAAAAAAAAAAAGTAAGAAAGTATGAGTGGGGGGATGTTCTGTGGAGTTTGAAGTTAACTGGGAGCGGATCCAGCTGGCTGAGCAAAATACAGTGATAAGCAGAACATTACCACAGCTGAGAACGCTAATGAATTTACCAGTGTTTTCTCCTGCTGTCCTCTTACCCCTTCCCCTCCCACTCCTTCAGCATTGTTGTCTTTAGCATCACATATGCTTTGGGCACAGGCCCTGTTTCTGCAGCGAGCCGGTACACTCCGGGCTTACCTGGAAATGCCGCGTTGGGTATAAAGAGGTGACGGTAGTTATTTGGTGTTTGGCCAGACCACGCGGTACAGAGTGCCTATGGGTTCTGTGCTTTGGTTTTCTGCCAGCGGTGGGAGGACAGTGATCGTTTAAGACAAAGGCAGCGACTGCATTTGTACCACTTACGAGCTTTGCAGAATGTGACTGCAGCATTTTCTGACACGCCGGCTGCTATGTAGCAATATGCTAACAGCACTTACCAGGTGTAAGTGCCGGCGGTACCGTCACTTTTGGTGCGTGCCTGGCATTGTCCTGTTTTGGTGCGGACAGTCTGATACACAAATGCAAGTGGAAATAAAGTCTCTGGCATTGGACTGGGATCCCACAGCACGCAAATCTCTTTCATGTCACAATAGCTATTTCCATACAGTGCCTATGCTTTCGTTTTTCCCAGACTAGAATCAAAATGTTCAGATTATTTGATTGCCATGTAACCTACACTAACGCATGCTTATCGGAAACATTTATGTCCAGCAAATGAGCTGTTTTGGCCTTTCTGGCTTGTAACCAGAGAGTTAAAGCAATGAAAAAGAGCTGATCTGCTCTGGTACTACCTGATACAGGGATACCTGAACTAGTTCTGACTTAATTCCATAATTTAAGGGACTAAGTCAATGGCAACTGTGCACTGCAGCCAAGGTAATTCACCTGATAATTTACTCCAGTACTACATGTCCAAAGAATGCCTTGCTTCAGTACTTATTTCCATACTTCAGAGGCTGATATTAAAGACCAGTAATCTAAGATGCCTATACAACTTTCACTAAAATTACCTTTTTTGAAGCCATTTTATCTGTATGCCTCTATATAAAAATAAAATTTAAAAATTGTTATTATTATTATTACTAATTGCAATATTAACTCAGTTATGTTTTTATGTTTGCTGCAGGCTGGAAATTAAATCCAGTTGTTGGTGCAGTTTATAGTCCAGAATTCTATGCAGGTAAGGATTATGCTATAGTTGCCCATGCCGTATTTTATTTTAATATTCTTTAAAGCACGCAAAAGTACAGAATATATGTTTGGTGAGAGGTTTGGTTTCTTTGTTTAATTCGCATTATCTGCAAGTCATTTATGGATTTGTGATGCAGGATTTTAACAGTTACCTGGGCATGCAAAAGTTTATATAGAAGATATATTAATACCTTTTAAATTTTATTGGAAAGTAGATAGTATAACATGAAATATACTGCAATATCCCAGTCTTACATGAGATTAAATCTATATTTTATTTTATTTATATTTTATTTGTATTTTATTTTATATTTTAGTACGGTCAATTTCCTCTAGGAATTATTTAAGCCTAGTGAGCAACAACAACAAAAATATCTATCTATAAATATATATTTTGTGCATATACATGTGCATAGACACACATAAGTGTAGAACATCTGTGTTCATAATTTTTTCGTGAACATTTTTCTTTAAATTTTATATTTAGCTTTTCAGTTTATTAAAATTTCTGTGTTTATAATCTATATTATATTTTGAGTCTTCACTGAGATTGAATTCTGATCCTGGTTACAATTTGGAGTTAATGAGATATAGTCTTTTTCTACTTGAACCCAGTCATGGCTAGCAACAGCTTCTAAATGTGCTTTAGCAATGGTATTGAAAACAAACATGGTTGTACTCCAAAACCCAGCTGATTTCAGAGGAATTTGAATTCCACCCATAAACATAATCATTAGCAAGTTCAAAAAAAGCTATTTTTTGAAAGCTAATAATTTACATCTAAGAAATAATCACTATAACTCGACATGTTTCTAATAGGTAATAAAGTTGCCTTCGTTTCTTAGGTTCACAATCCTATATGAGTCTTCTGTGACTTTCATGGGAACCTCTGGATATTTTTTAGTTTGCCATTTGGATCTGTTTTTCAGTTGTCTCAGTGTGTGTTTACCAGATACAAATACCTAATCATGTTTTAAAAACACAAAATTATTTATCCATTGTCACACACTTAGGTAACTGAAGATAAAGAGGTAATTGTAAAATACATTCTTTAGAGTAAGTAAAGAAGAGATACTAGGAAAGCATTTTTCACAGATGGTGGTTAAGCATGGGGAGAGGTTGCCCACAGAAGCTGAGGAATCTGCTTTCGTGGAAATATTCAAGCCTCTACCAGACAAAGCTGAAAAACTTTCCTTAGTTCAACGGAATTCAAGAGATAAAAATTGTTAAATAGGACTCTTGTTATAAACAGATACTTACTTTACAAAAGCTGCCTGTAATACATCCGGTGCCATCTACTAAGATAGATAAAAATGCTCCAATTAGGGTATGTGTTATAAAAGTGGCACAGTATAATAAAAATACGAAGTTGGCATTCATGGAATTGCAATATTTAGCGTAGGCAGAATTTATTTCCTTCCTTGATGTATGCCTGCATTGAAAACAGGAATTTAACATTGATCTCATTTGAGTACTTAGTGAACCAACTCTGAACCTGCATAAATTAGAAAGTCAGAGTTATTAGTCATTTTATATAAATGACTTTGTGTTAATGACAAATATAATAATATTCCCATAGAACAGTAATCAATTTTCTAATACGTATGCAGAATTAACAATCTGACTTATAATTGTCTCATGAAGTAGGGCATGAAGAGTTCACATAGTTTGTAAATTAAAATCAATATTTTCAATCTCTCCTGAAGGTAATTTTCCTAATTTACTGGACTTTTCCCTAACATTTATTTTGTCTTTTAATTATAAAATGGCAGGTTATTGATTTTTTTGTATAACCTCCTAAAGTCCCAAGTGCATTTTTATTGCCAACACAAGGGAGGTGTTTGCCCTTCTTAATGAGAATCTTTAATTACCATTAGAAGAGTATTAATTTAATTTTATGAATTATGACATGCACTCCACCACACCTATGCAGAAAGTTCTATCAAGATACTTCATGTATTTCAGATTTTTTTTCTGTTTATGCATGCAGTTTTGGTTTTTTTAAATGCATATCAAATATCAAATGCATATTTTCATAATTGACTAAAAGATAATTTCTTCTCAGATATTTAAACTTTATTTTAAGCAATTTAGTTAAAAAGAGCTTTGTGCAGATCTCTTAAAGTCAGTCGAAAATGAAACACTAAAAGAGCAACACAGTTCTTACATGCTGTAACAGAATACTACGACATATCTTTCCTTTTGTGTCCACCCCCACCATCTTACTTGGAGAAGAAGGAATTGCACTTCTGAAGATTATAAAATGAGAAATGCAATTTTTAAGATGGTCAAAGTTCTAGTTATTTGGTTTAATTAGTGTCTCCAACACTGTCATGTTAAAATCGCACCAAGTCTTTCATAGTGCAAGAAGTTTCTTTAGCTCCTAATAAATTATGAAAAATTTGGCCACTTCTGAAATAAAGATGATACATTTGCAGAGAAACTGTTGATTTAAAGTACCTTTAATCTTCATAAATAAGTAAAAAACCAGGAGGTTATACAAAGCTGTCAGGATGGCACTGATGAATGGCAAATTCACCCATTTCTCAATTGCCAGTGAAGACACACGCCGCAAGGCTTAACCGTATTGTACATCATATCTGCCAACTCATTTCTGTGATTAAATATTCCATCAGTGCAGGCTATAAGGCGGTAAAGCTTAACAAGATTCATAAGATGCACCACTTGAATACACATAACTCACTTCCTTGGATAGAGAGCACCCCGCATGCAAAAGAAAATTAGAATTGAGTTAAATTACTCCATAAGACAAGATCAATAGAGAAAGGAAAAGATCCCCTAATGCAATGCAAATCCAAGATATAGTTATGTCCTGACAACTTGAAGCAGACAATTAAAGTCAAATAGGGAGGAACGCAATGTAAATCAACCCTAAAACCTTGAAGATAATGGTAAACTGTAGGACCAGTGACATGATTGTTATAGCTCTCCTCTTTTTCTGAGTGTACACTTCTGTAAAAGAAAATCTTTATTGAGGAAACGCATGACAGCTAAAAATGGAGACTATAAGATACATAGCAGGTGCACAACAGACGCTATATAAGTAAAGTATTATTTGGGGACTGGAAAATACTATATATTTACAAAGCACTATAGTTTTTTCTTCATGAGTAGCCCTTCTAAGACTGTTTTTCTGACTTTGAAATGCTCATGCTGTAGTTTACAACACTCGAGAAACATGGCTATTTAGGTCACGTGGTAGCATTAATATGGATTTCCAGTGACATGTTCACAAAGTGCAATTTGAAGACTGCTGATGTAATTCCGAGGCCTAGCAAGTCTCCCTAACAACTGCCGACTGTGGAGGTGTTGGTGAGCTGGCTAACTGACACACGTCCTGCCCTTCCCATAGGTCAGCTGGGAGGTCGTAAAATGACATTTCTTAGGAAAAAAAAGGACAGTGATTTTTTTTTTTTTTCATTTATAATTTTCAGCATTTCAGAGAATTCCACTTTTCCATACATCATAATTGATAGGTAATTTTTTTAAAAAATCACTTATGTCCACATAATCTCCTTCTAGTAAATTAAAGGGTACTATTTAAGATACTTTTCCTCCTTAGGAGAAAGAAATGCTTAATGAAGTTATCATTTCCATTTCAGCTTATCTTTTCCAGTAGACTATTTGTCAAGCTCTTAGACAGGTCCTAGTGAGGAAATTTGTAAGCAGCGCTGCGTGATTTGTCTCACAGAGTCTTCATGTAGACTGGGACAAATTTTTCATTTTTTTATATATCCATCCTATTTTGAATCTATCCCATAGTGACCCACAATTTTGCTATGTTAAGCTAAAGTCTCTTATCCTCACCCGTACACTCACCTCTGTCTGGCAAAATACAGATTGGCAGTTTGGTTTCTTTCCTAGGAGTACTCTAGTACTTTCTTACTGTGTTACATTCTTTGTTTCTGTGGTTTGTTATAATTTTTACCTTCTTATTTATTTTGATATAGTGTATATTTTATCTGTATTACCTAGCTTTCCTTTCAGCCTTGGACAGTCTGAAAGCAAAGTTCTGTGTTGTTCCTTTCAGTTATCAGATCTTTCTTTTTTTTTTTCCTCTTTTGGTTTTTGGAATGATGAATTTTTCAACAATATCTTGCACTCTCTTTAATGGAATGTAGAATATTGTTGCACTCGTGTTACTACAACAGGTCAGTCCTTTAAAGCAGATAGCTTGAAACACAGAATCATAGAGTCATGGAATGGTTTGGTTGCAAGGGACCTGGAAGATCATCTTGTTCCAGCCCCTCTGCCATGGGGGGTAAGGCCAATTTAAAAGACTTTCTCCTTGTAAGTGGCAGAAAATGTATTTTAGGGCACTTATTTGTTGGAGAGTCTTCTTTTTGAGAGTTCTAGTATGTAAGGTGGGGGAGAAGAAGTTACAGAAATTACCTGGAAATCTAGTGAATCTTCCTTCAGAGAACATTTGAATTCACAGCGACCTATATGAGAAAATATTCTTATCTGGTCATAACCAACAAACAATATTTCAAAAATTTCAAAATGTAAGTTGGCAGTGGAGAAAGAAAGGACTTAAGACTAGTGAAGAACCATTAAAACAAGTCATGGAGCATAGCTCAATGGCATGTAACAGAGATCCCATTCTCCTTTTACTTAAGTGACTAATTACGTATTATTTTTCCTGCATAGCCATGAAGTGCTAGAAGTTTTTCAGAAGCTAGTTTCAAGAGTCATCCCACGTAGCTGAGTAGTTGTATTCGCTTCGTAAATAATCTTAACCCAGTGAGTACTGTTGTAGGCACCCAGTTTCTTGGCAGTTAGTAGTTATCATTCCAAGGTGGCTTGGAAAATTTTCTCCATGAGTTAAAAGAAAGGGGAAGAGCTTGTGCTTTTTGACTCTTTTGTATGCCCTCAGAAGACAGAGAAATTTTAGATGCCTGCGGCTTTTTAGCGTGCTGTGGATTTGGAAGCTAACAGTATCCTCCAAGAAACAGATTTCATAACAAA